GTGTCAAATTACATTCACTGTGACACTTTCAGTTTCTGGACTATGTGTTTAGATTCTTTGTTAGAAAAGAGAGGACGTTCAACGACAGAAGGATACGGTGAACACTGAAATACAGGGAATATCAGGATACTGACACTTCAACAGGATGCTGCTGATTCAATGTTACAAACAGAAGTTTTACAGAAGGGAAAGTAAGTTTGAAGAAACTTCTTGAGTGGACGCCTCATTGTTTTCATTGTTGTCACTCCAGGACAAAATGTCTTCTCAGTCTGAAAAGGATCTCTCCTGTCCCGTCTGCCACGACATCTATAGCGATCCTGTCATCCTGTCATGCAGCCACAGCTTCTGTCGATTCTGTCTGCAGACGTGGTGGAGCAAGAATCTAGAACACAACTGCCCACTGTGTAAGAAGATAAACCTGTCAAATGATCCGCCCCGTAACTTGGCGTTAAAGAACCTGTGTGAGGCTTTCTTACTGCAGAGAGATAAAAAACCTTCTGCAGGGTCTGAGCCTCTCTGCAGTCTGCACCATGAGAAACTCAGACTTTTCTGTTTGGATCATCAGCAGCTGGTGTGTGTCGTCTGTCGAGATTCAAAAGCACACAAATACCACAGATTCAACCCAACTGAAGAAGCCGCCCAGGATCACAGAGAGGAGCTTCAGAAACACCTGAAGCCCTTACAAGATAAACTGAAGGTGTTTGAACAAGTCAAAGGAAACTTTGATCAAACAGCAGAACATATAAAGGTCCAGGCACAGCAGACGGAGAAGCAGATAAAGGAGGAGTTTAAAAAGCTTCAGCAGTTTCTACAAAATGAAGAGAAGGCCAGGCTGGCTGCTCTGAGGCAGGAAGAAAAGCAGAAGTTAAGAAAAATGGAGGAGAAGATTGAGTCTCTGAGTAGAGGGATAAAAACTCTTTCAGAAATAATCAGAGCCACAGAGGAGCAACTGAGAGCTGAAGACGTCTCATTCCTCCACAACTACAAACTTTCAGTGATCAGAGTCAAGCAGCGCCCCCTGTTGGATGCTCCACAGCTGGTCTCAGGAGCTCTGATGGATGTGGCCAAACACCTGGGCAACCTGACCTACAACATCTGGAATAACATGAAGGAGATGGTCTCCTACACTCCTGTGATTCTGGATCCAAACACAGCTCATCCACAACTCATCCTATCTGACGATCTGACCAGTGTAAGTCTTGGAGGGAGACAGAAGGTTCCTGATAATCCAGAGAGGTTTGACTATGATAAAGTTGTTCTGGGCTCTGAGGGCTTCGACTCAGGGACTCACATTTGGGATGTTGAGGTTGGAGAAGAGGGATTTTGGGCCTTTGGTGTTGTAAATGAGTCTTTTGAGAGAAAGGTACAAGCACTGTCAGGTTTCTGGCAATTAAGTTTCCAGGATGAAAAGTACATAGTAGCAACAACACCAGATACATATAAATACTTGTCTGTAAAGAAGCTGCAGAGGGTCAGAGTTCAGCTGGAGTGTGACAGAGGGAAGCTCTCATTGTTTGATCTGGATGCCAACACACTCATACACACCTTCAAACACAATTTCACTGAGAAGCTGTTTCCTTATGTTGAGACTAAGAAGAAACCACTGAAGATATTACCAGTGATCTTGAAAGTGGACGAGCATATAACTCCTCTATCAACAGGTTTTTGATCTCATTTTGAAACCAGTAAAAAGTCCTAGCATTAATAGTTCCAAGATACTAAGAAAGAGCAAATGCTTTCACAGATTTTTCACTTATTCATTGTTTGTCCTATTTTAAGATCTGATTTCTGAATGATTCTTTCTTCTTTTTCTAGCTACTAGGAAATAAATTTGCCGTTTGAGAAAAACTATCATGGTTTTTTGTCCTAAAGTTAAAATGTGACCTGTTGTACAAGATATAAACGATTGA